TCTTCATGGAAGCAAAGCCCAAACCACACCCACTGCCGTGGAGTCTATTCTGACAGCGCCCCTAGAGGACAGAGTGGGACTGCACCATAGGACTTCCAAGGCATCTTTATGGACAAAACCAAACCAAACACAGTGCCATTCAGTTGGATCCCACTCGTAACAACCCCTCCTTGGATTTCCGAGGCGGTATGACTACGGAAGTAGATGGCCCAACCTTTCTTCCAAGGAGTAGCTGGTGGGTTTGAACTGCCAGCCTTCTGGTAGCAGTCTAATGCCTTAGGCAGTAGCTCAAACCACACCTACTGCTGTGCAGTCAATTCTGACCCACAGCGCCCCTAGAGGACAGAGTGGAGCTGCCCCACAGGGTGTTCAGGCTATAATCATTATGGAAGCTGACTTTCTCATCTTTTCTCCAACCGAATGGCTGGTAGATTTGTACCACCCACTTTGGTTAGCAGCCAGATCCAGAGTTCTGCAATAGAGATACAGGTCCTGAAAAGAAATAGTCCTTCATGGGCCCTTCCCCCCAAGCCATTAATGATTTCTGCTGAAACAGACATGCTCACAAACAGGTGTGTCACGCTTTGGGCCAGCGCAGGGTTTAGTTCCTAGTGCTGGGTTTGTTGACATTTGTCGAAAACTGTGCCTTCACAAGCGTAGAAATCTGTGAGCCACCCTGAAGTGCACAGCTGAGTAACTGCCCCCCGGGAACAGACCCAGGGCATGCCGTCCCCCACTGCCTCCTGACGTAGCCACTCCCGCCCGTTCTCCAAAAAGCCTGATCCTGGTTTCTAGCGTGTGGGTGTGTTTTGCCTGCGTGTCAACCTCGTGAAACTGGAGTCTAGAATACATTTGGGGACACCATGTGGCCTCGGATCGTTTCGTGGCTGGGACAGGCAACAGTTTGTTCTTCCAGACCCTGTGACTGACACTGGGGTCTTCCTGGGTCTGTTACACTCAGATCGACAGTGCCCTCCTCAGCAGACACCTTGCACAGACATTCGTGCAGGAGGCAGGTTCTGTGTGCTTTGTTTGACCGCAAGCAGGGACACTCTGTCCAAGGCCACCTTCATCTGGGAGCGGTGGCTTTGCCCATGGAGGGGTGGTGGCCTGGGGCCAGGGTGGTAGGGAGCTGGGTGGCCGGCAGGGAGGGGCTGCATCTGGATATATTGTTAACCACTTGTGTGGCTTTGCCTGCCTTTACTTTCTGAGCTAGGGGCCACCTCCATCCATAGCAGAAGTGTAACATTTAGTAGATCCAGTGTAAGCCTCACTCCCGGGAGAATGCTAGTAAGTAGAGATCAGGTGAGCCCAGCCCATGGGCGTGGGCCCCCCCACACCCTCCCTTCACCGCCCCCAGAGTGCCCTCTGTGCCTGGCAGGGGACAGGTCCTGGGGTGGAAGCCTGGGTAAGGCTGGTTGAGAAACTCCAGCCTCCTCTGCCCCAGGGGGGCTTCCAGTGGGGTCCTCCAGCCCCGGGGAAGCTGGGAGCCCACCAGGCTTCTGTGTCGGTGCCTCTTTTCCAGAGGACCCCCAGGACCCCAGCTCTAGATTTCCTAAGACGTGGGCCAGTCAGCTCCGTCTCCCCCAGACCTGGTCCCCTGGAGCGGACCGCCCAGGCACAGACACGTTAGGGGCCTCTGGGGACCCCGGTGGAGAACCGAGTCTCTGAGTGTGACGTTCCCAAGCTGGCCTAAAGCCACCATAAAGATGCAACCTGGACATCTCCAGTGCTTGGACCAAGGAGGGGACAGCTCTGCGTCATGGTTCTGCAGGACAAGAAGCGTCACTCCCGAGACCCCAGGACACTGCAGGGGAGTGACCCTTGCATCACAGGAACTTGACTTGAGCTCACGGTTACTGTGTCACAAAGTCCAACGAGCTCTCCTCCTCCCTGCTGAGTGCTGTGCAGAGCTGGGCAGGGGGCTGGTGGACGTCACTACTGGGAGCCCAGTGCCAGGATTCTCCTCCGAGCAGTGGCTGCCAGCTGCTCAGGCCCTTACTCCTCACTGAGCCATTTAGGCTGAGGACACCCCTGTTCTGGTGGTGAAAATGGGCAGAGCTTCCTAACTCTGGCATAAAGCTGGGCCATGCCCGGTGAGAGCTCTCACCTGCCAGCACCCCCACCCCCATCCTTGCCCCAAGCAGCACAGCCACTCACATCCCTGGAGAGGACAGAACGCCAGCTGCATCCAAGTTGCAAAGCATCTCAGCCTTGGGCTTCCCTTCTTTGAAATGGGCGCACTTGCTCCGGCTGCCCTGCCGCTGCTTATTTAACTGATGGCCGCTGTCCTCAGTAGGGGCTCCTGGCTGGAACCATGCAGCTGGGCTGGTTGCCCCTGGTGTGGACAGTTACCTGGAGGAGCCAGGCATTTCCCATCTGCCATGTTTTTGGGACAGTGGCCACCCTGTTAGCCAGGAAGGACGACCGGTGTGGCCGGGACAATGGGGAGGGGTCAGGAACTAGCTCGAGGCCAGCTCTGGGCAGTGGTAGGGAAGATGGGCTCAGCTCAGATGGAGAGGCTGTTGGGGGTCCCTGTGTCTGCTCACCCAGCCCCCATCCAGAAGAGCGGGCACACCCGGCCCTGCCCCGTGGACTCCCCAAAGCCCCCGAGTGCTCGCTCCTTGGCTCCCGGCCTCCCCCTGCCACGCTCACCCACTCCCCCTGGCCGCCGCCCATCTTCCCTCGCCTTCCAGGTGCGGCTGCAGGTGCAGAGCGTGGCCAAGCCCCAGTACCGAGGGACGGTGCACTGCTTCCGGTCCATCATCCGGCAGGAGAGCGTGAGTGGGGCGGGGTGGGCGCAGGCCTTCCCACTCCAGGGGGGAGGAAGCTGGGGCCAGACCAGTCAGGACCCTGGGTCCAGGCGTCTGTCTTTCTGAGCACCGTGGGGGACTGGGGCTGAGGGTGCCCGGGCCCTGATGGCGTCTCTCCCCGGCCCGCAGGTGCTGGGCCTGTACAAGGGCCTAGGCTCACCCCTCATGGGGCTGACGTTCATCAACGCGCTCGTGTTCGGCGTGCAGGGTAACACGCTCCGCGCCCTGGGCCGAGACACGCCGCTGAACCAGTTCCTGGCGGGCGCGGCGGCCGGCGCCATCCAGTGCGTCATCTGCTGCCCCATGGAGCTGGCGAAGACGCGGCTGCAGCTGCAGGGCGCGGGCCCGGCGCGCACCTACACGGGCTCCCTTGACTGCCTGGCGCAGATCTACCGGCAGGAGGGGCTGCCCGGCGTCAACCGCGGCATGGTATCCACGCTGCTGCGCGAGACGCCCAGCTTCGGCGTCTACTTCCTGACGTACGACGTGCTGACGCGCGCGCTGGGCTGCGAGCCGGGCGACCGCCTGCTGGTGCCCAAGCTGCTGCTGGCCGGCGGCACCTCGGGCATCGCGTCCTGGCTCTCCACCTACCCGGTGGACGTGGTCAAGTCGCGGCTGCAGGCCGACGGGCTGCGGGGCGCCCCGCGCTACCGCGGCTTCCTGGACTGCGTGCGCCAGAGCTACCGGGCCGAGGGCTGGCGCGTCTTCACGCGGGGGCTGGCCTCCACGCTGCTGCGCGCCTTCCCCGTCAACGCCGCCACCTTCGCCACCGTCACCGTGGTGCTCACCTACGCCAGGGGCCAGGAGGCCGACGGGGAGGCTGTGCCTGCGGCCGCCCCGGCAGCCGGACCCGCCCTGGCCCAGCCCTCCAGCCTGTGACCTACCCCCCAGAGCCACCTGGCCCCCACCTCCCGATGGCTGCTTCTCGGAGCTCGGCCCCACGGGCCTGCCCAGGTGCGGGGGATGGGGACCCCGTCACCTTGGACTGGACTCGACTCATCAGCTGGGCCACGGACTTCACGTGGGGTCCCCAGGCCTCACTTTTCTCAGCTGTCCAATGGGATGTTCCCAGGCCTCACGCTGCCGGTCACGAAGGTGGGAGACGGACCTGCAGTGTGACGCTGGTCCTGGGGACTTCCGGAAGCCCAACCCACACGCCACACCGCCCACCTCCCTTGCAGCCTGCAGCCCCGCCCCAAGGTTGTCTGACGGCCCCCAGTGAGCTGCCCACCAACTCACTCACTCCCCATAGGTCAGCCCCGGCAGAGCTCCAGGGACGTCTCAGCCACCTGTCCTGTCTGTGCTGGGGAGAGGCGTACATGGGGGACTCTGCTGCCACAGGACTGGGTCCTCTGCCAAGGCACCCCACCTTCTCCAAACCCCTGGGTGGGGCCTGCAGCCGGTTCAGCTTAGGGACGGGAGAGAGCAGAGCCCCACAGGGCTGTGACAAGGGCAAGTCTGCATCCCAGAGCTCAGGCTGTCCATCCGTAAGATGGGGCCACAGGTCGGCTGACAGCTATGACTGACCCATGACTACCAGTCGGTCCGCCAGACGTCCCGAGGGTTTGGCAAGGGGAGCAGTAGGGCCCCCCTCCCGCCCCCTGCCCAGGGCTGGGGCAGCTGAAGCCACAAACAAGCCAAAGGTCAGTTCCTCCCTTTCCAGCAAACGTCTGGGTGGGATATGCTCACTGCCTGGTGTTCCCGTTACAGTTGGGGGCCACGTGGACAGAAGGCCCTGCAGGCAGAGGGAGCCCATCTTAGGGGGACTGGAGCTGACACCCTGACATTGGCCAGGGGACAGGTGTCTCTGTAGGGGTGTCAGGTCAATGAGGGTGGTCTAGCCCCGGCCCCCCCTGGGAATATGCTCCAGTGTGGTCACCCCGCTTCGCACACTGGTGGAGCGTGTGTAACTATTGTACATAAACTGCAGAGAGAATAAAGTCCTGTTGTCTTTTTTAAGAGGGCGGGGCTTCATTTGTGTGTTGGGGGGGGCCTTCATTCCCCACCCCGCCCTGGAGGGGCCCTCAGGTCCTGCCCTCGTGACCGTGACCGTGGGCAGTTACCTGATAGGCTCAGGGTGTCAGTGTGCTATCTGCAAAACGGTGCGGATGGGGACCTGGGACCACACAGGAAGGCAGACACAGCCTCCACTATTTAGTCGGGGCTCGAAGGTCAGCAAGGGGACCCTTGGCTCCTGACCCAAAGGTTGGAGCCGCAAGTCCACCCAGAGGCCCCTTGGACAAAAGGCCTGGAAATGTGTCTGTGGAAATCCAGCCATGGGAGCCCTGTGGGGCGCAGTCCTGCTCTGAAATGCATGGGGTTGTGGACTCCAGACACCCCGACGTCGTTCGGATGTCAGCACCCTGCCTGTGGGGCTTTTGTGCCAATGAGTTCCTGGAAGGAATCATGTTGGGGCGGGGGGGGGGGTTGGCACGGATGTTGGATCAGTCTAGGCGTTGGGGGTGGGGTGGACACCATGGCCGCAGTCCTGCCTGGAGGGTAACTGGTTTATCAGGCCAGGGAGACGGGGTAGGCGAGGGTCGTGATGTGAGGGACGGGCTCGAGGTGCCCACTGGCTGTAGGGTGGGACTCAGAGCATACAGAACTTCCTGTCCGAGCCGTGACCTGAGCCATCTCGGAGGCCAGTGAGGGCTTCCTGCGAGAGGCCGTACTCCATCACCCCTGGAATCAGTCCTGGGCGCCCGAGCACTGCCCCTGCTGCTTCCGCAGGTGCCGGACGTGGAGGCATCTTCCCCACGGCTGAGCCAGTAGCCCCGCCACAGGCGAGGGAGAGCAGGGCAGAGGACCCAGCTTCCCTCTGGGTGGGACCTCTCCCAAGCCGCTTTGCCCCACTGAGCCCCAGCACCATGCAGTCGGCTTAGTTTCTGGGGGCAGGAGCCCAGGAAGGGCTGACTGCTGACCGCAGGCGGGTGACCCCGGGCATGTCACAGGCTCTGTTGCTCACATGCCCCTTGCTCAGCTCCCAGGTGATAGCCTGGCTCCCCTGGAGACTCCTTGGCCTTTCACTCTTCCTCTGAAGAGAGACCGCAGGAGATCCGGGGTGAGGACAGCCTGGCTGGGAGCACGGTCGATCCGCCCCGGCTCTGCCTGGCTGGGTGACCCTGGACAGGCCTGTCACCCTGCTGGGCCCACAGTGGCACCTCCAACGCAGGGGTGACGGGTGGCAGGAAGAAGGGTGCCAACCTTGACGAAAGCTCAGCGGTTGGCCCTCACTAGTAGCCTGTGAGTGGCCAAAGTACTCACCTTGCAGGCAGGACTGTGGCCATGGTGTCCTCACTGTCCCCACCACCCCACCATCCGCGTCCCCCAGAAAGGCCCTAACACGACTCCTTCCAGGAATTAATTTGAGCAAAAGCCTTCTTGGAGGCCTGCTCTGTTGTTCCTGGTCCAAGGTGGGCAACAGCCAAACATGCCATTGTCTGCCCACCAGGGCACATGTTCTTGTGGGACAAGAGACAGTAAGCCCTCATAGAAGGGTGGTGACAAAGGGTGACCCAGGCAGGAGGTTGGAGGAGGGTCTCCTGCCACCCCCCAACTCGGTGACCTCACGGGGGCCACAGCGGGAGCAAACAAAGTGGGGTGTCCCCAGTGCGGACCGTGAAACACGTACCAACAAGTCATGGGGAGGATTTATGAATTTATTTTACATTTTGTTTTTTCTCTGATTTGAAATTATGTTTATTCTAGTTGGAAAAAGTAATACATGAATGTAATAAAACTAAAACACAAACAGAACCCAAGGCAGAGGAGACATGCCCCCAGCCCCCCAGCCCAGAGGTCTTCCCACATGTCCCGGGCGAGTCCAGCCCTGCACACATCCACACCCTCCAAGCACAGTCTGGGTGCTGACCATTCCGTTCTTTGCTTTTTTCTCACCCCATCATTGCCTTGCCGGTCGTTGAGACTGGCCGCCTTCCTGGTAAGAGTTGGGGCATTTCACCAAAAGCGCCCCTCAACTTCTTTATCCAGCAGCTGGGAGGACAGTTAAGAGGCAGAGAAGCGGCGGCCCAGGCTCTAGGCCGGGAGGTGGGAAGTGGGGAGGAAGGGTATGCGGCTGGGGGTGGCCGGGCGTGACGAGGTGGAGGCGGCCACTGAGGGCACCTTGGGTACAATGACAGGCCCTCTTAGTGCACATCCAATATTCCTTCTACCTTTTTAATTTTTTTTTTCCTCTTTATAATTTTCCCTCTTCTCTCTTCCCATTCTGCTTTTTGTTCTGAGTCCTAATTGGTTTTGGCCTGAGTGTGTCCAGGTGAAAATTCTCGCCTCCTTCCCAGACTCCCTGGGAATGTCCGGAAACTCTGCCACAGGAAACCCTATGGAGGGCCATTGACTGACGCAGAGGGCGCGCAGAGGGCGCCGGGAGAAGGAGCCAACAGGGTGGACTTGGATCTCAGGTGACAGCACTGAACGGAGGGCAGTCGCTTCATGCCCCCGGGACTTTCACTGAGCTGTTCAGTGAGTTTGTAGAGACCACACAGCTGAGGCCTTAGTCCCAGCCCTCCCTGCAGACAACGCTATGTGTGACCGTAAGGACAACAGCTCTGCCCTTCACGCACACCCCCTTAGGCCTTCTCAACAACGGGGACCCCCATTCTGCAGTGGAGGACGCTGAGGCACAGGAGGTGCGGCACCTGTCCAAGGTGTGGGAGCCGAGCCCACGGCCCTTCGAGGCCAGGCCCTTGCACCCCTGCCTGAGGCCCGCCTACAGATGGCTGTCCGCCCCAGTGGGGGTTACGGACAGCGAGCTGACAGCTGGGGTGCAGTCCCGGCAAGACGGTAGGGCCCAAGGGAGACCGGGGGTGTCAGTGAAGACAAACACTAGGGGCCGCTGGGCTGTGGAGGCTGCGGGGCCTCAGGGAGGGCAGGCAGAGGGCAGTCACTGGTTACCAGGACGTAGGGGAGCACGGTGGGGGAGGGTGGCTGGCATTACAACATGTGGCAGGGTCTGCAGCCAACGGGGCAGAGGAAGGAGGGGGCAGCTGGCGCAGGAGCGTCGCACAGTGGCGTCTGGAGCACCGGCACAGGCCTGGAAGTGGGAGTCCCATGATGTTAGGAGCCCTCCCCCCTCTGCCACGAGGGTGACAAGAGCAGATCCAGCCTGGAGGGCCTCAGGGGTGCAGTGCCTTCCTCCCGCAGCCCCCCTGCTGACTGGAAATGCTGAATGCCCGCGTCGCTCTCACTCCTCACGCCCAGCCTCTGCCTCCACCCAGGACCTGAACCATCCCGCTCCCACATGGGCTGGTCCTGCCTGACTTCACCCAAGGACGCCCTGGGCTGCTGGCCCTCCTGCAGGCATCGCTCCCTCCCTCCTCCTCTGCGCTCCCCACCTCTCCTGGCCCAACTCTCCCTCCCTGCCTTCAGAGCACCCCTCACAGTAAGGAGGGAATTGAGGCGCCCAGGGTGACCGAGAGCTCCAGTCACTGGTGCTCCTGTTTGGCCATGTTCCAGGTCTTTCCAGCCCTGCCACGTAGGATACCTGGTTAACAACTCAGCTGCACTCCAGCTCGGAGCTGTTGGCACGTCTGGGCTCAGCCCAGGCCCGTCCTTCTCAGGCCTGGTGCTGCACGGAGCTGGGAGGGCGAAGGAGCGGAGACCAGCCCCCACGGCCTGGTAGCAGAGGCGCGGGAAGCAGGCCTTCTTGCCGGGACCCCTGGCGCCAAGGCCGCACACCAACCTGTACTGGCATTCCCTGCAGCGCCAGGCTGAGGGGTGGGGCAGGCTGGGCAGAGGCACATAGCACCCTCCGGTGGTGGAACGTGAAGGCACCCCGTCCCGCCCGTGAGTCCCTGGGTGGAGCAAGCCGTCAGGGAGCTTGGCTGCTAGGAGGTGGCGTCCACCCAGTGGCCCATCTGAAT